CCACTGTAGGCTAAGTGTTCATACTGCCCCCTGTAGGGCTAAGTGTTCATATTGCCCACGGTAGGGAAATTGTTTATACTGCCCCCGGTAAGTTAATGGTTCACAGTGCCCCGGTAGGTGCATTGTTCATTCTGTTCACGGTAGGTTGATAGTTCATACTGCCCACGGAAACCTAATTGTTAATACTGTCCAAATGCAAGGTAAGAAAATTTTTTTTTACTGTTTATTTTTTTTGTTAAAAAAAAATCTAGGTAATAAACTCATTACCTAACCCGAAGTTTTTTATCCTTGCAAAATTTGTTATGATTATACTTAAAAATGGCGCCAAAGTTAAGCTTGCCTGGGGTGCAAACGATCTTAGGCCCGGCCCTGAATACTCATAATTTCCGTTCATCTTGATATAGTTACGGTTTGAGGCTCAACCCAGCCAACAATTTTTTTTGAGACTCGTCCGAGACAACAATTTGTTTGGAGACTCGTCCCAGCCAATTTATTTTCGGACATCGGAGGAAGCTATATTTAAATAATCGAATAGTTTTAAAAATATCATAACAACCAAAATCATAATAAAGAAGATTCCCGTTTAGGAACAGCCTCGCTTCCATGGCGGGGTAGGATGCTAAATAGTACAATACCCGATGGGCGTTCAATTTGAAAGGTGGTACCAAAAAGGAAACACAAAAATCAATAAAAGAGGTCAATGAATGGCTGCACAAGATGAGTAACTTAATCACTTTATAGAGTACGAGACACGCCGCAACACGCATTTATAAACTATTTATTAAAAGATAAAATTGTAAAATGAAATGATAAATTAGATTACTTCCACATGGTCTTCAGGAAAAACATCCAACAAAACAGCCTCTGTCTCTTTCAAACAAACAAAACTCCCTTCAAATAAAACAGCGCCCCCCCCCCACTCCCCCCAAAAATAATAAAAAAATAATCCCTCTCCTAAAAACACCTCCTCCCAAACAAAATACGCCCTATCCGAAACAAAAAACCCTCTCCCCTCCAAAATAACCCCTCTTCCATAGTAAATACCCCCTATCCCAAACAAAAGACCCCCCCCCCCCCCCCCCCCGTGATCTCATATGTCCCCGGATAAAACAAGTAATAAAAGTACAAATGTTCCAATTTCCTGGAGTTCATCGCAAAACTCTGAACTCAAAACTTGTGGATAAATTTACTTTAAGTAGTTAGATTTTAGTCACGTATCTCGAGTTGTCACTGAACGCCCATCAGGAAGTTCTAAGACTCTTGGGAAACTCGCGTGGGCCTCTCAATCGGCCATTGGTGGCGACGGTGCAAATAGACAGCGGTAATAGTGTTAGCACCACCGCTAACCTGTCGGCGTCTGGGGGAGGTCAAATGTCACCAATTGAATCGAGAAAGTGGGGGGGGGGAGGGGGAATGATAAGACCGACCGTGAAAATTCAGTGGTATAGAAGGGGAGGGCACGGCAACATTTAAGTTTCCTCTGATTTAACTCTAAACGCAAACACCGGGCGAGATATGCAAATATTCACGCCTAGGCAGATTGACAAGAATTCTGAAAGACTGTCTGAAGTTCTATCGTCTGGAGGTCAGCCGTCCAGAGAATAAGTTGGCTCTGTAAACTGGTCACTGGTTCAAAGTTGGAGCTTTGCAGGGATGACAGTCACTCAATGACAAGATAAACATGCTGCTGCATTGCTCTTCTGCGGTGACGTCATTCACAGATCAGATAAAGGCGCGTTTACAACGTTCAGGTGCCCTATCGGCTAAGTGTCTGTTGTCCAAGTGCCCTATCGCCCAAGTACAGTATCGTCCAAGTGCCCTATCATCAAGTGCCCTATCATGCAAGTGCTCTATCGCCCAAGTGCCCTATCGTCCAAGTGCCCTATCATACAAGTGCCTATCGTCCAAGTGCCATATCGTCCAATTGCCTATCGTCCAATTGCCTATCGTCCAAGTTCCCAATCGTCAAAGTGCTCTATCGTCCAAGCGTCCTATCGTCAAAGTGCCAGATCGTCAAGTGCTCTATTGTCCAAGTGCCCTATTTCCCAAGTGCCCTATCGCCCAAGTGCCCTATCGCTCAAGTGCCCTATCGCCCAAGTACCCTATCGTCCAGGTTCCCTATCACTTTGTCCAGAGTTTCATTAGGCATTTCCAGTTCTGTTGCTTTCTTCTTTTCCCAGGTTCCCCCCCATACTTTGTTTCCCCCATTTCCTTCTTTGTGACGCTACAGGATCAACTGCCTGATGCCTTGGTCTTGATGTTTTGCTGTATGGACTGGTCAACTAATAATAATAATAGGAGTAAAATTATGTCTATTCCGGATTCAGCTGATTAAAAGTTATTTTTTATTGCTTCTTTCATTTTCTCTTATTTTTCGAAGGCCTGTTCACTTCTTCTCTTTTTAATGTTAAGGCATATTATGAACATGTCAGATTTTAATTTAATTGACTTTAAACGATTTTTTAAATAGTTCTCTACGTGAACCCACATAAAAAAGAATATCCCTCAAATCTGCAAAGAAGGAATTTTATTTTTAAATTGAAAAAAAAAAAAAAAAATTCAAGATATTTTGGAGCACATCAAAACGCATTAACTTTATAATTTAAATTTTAGAGTTTCTTATTACCATGGTTTTGTATTTAAGAAAATACGCCAGGGGGCCTGATATAGTCAGAAATCTCTTACAATCTCCGTAAGGCTCTTTTGAAAACTACACTTCTATCTCAAACAAACATAAAATTGGCTTTTTTAGGATAACTTTAGCCACACGCGTCACCTTTGTGGAACATATTATCTGTAACAATAAACATGCCGAAATAGTTCCAGGTATTAATGGGCACGTATAAATGAAAGCCGATGAACACGGCTGACATTTCACACCCGTGTGTAAGAATCTCCGAATCAATGAGTCCATCGTGTTGCTAGCGTCCCCAGTAATGGCCTTGTTTGGATGCTAACTCACGTGGTTGCTTCTACAAGAAGCTGACAAAACATATTGACCATACAATTTACTGGCGCAGTTGAGAAAAAAAAATGGTTAAAATGTGTCGTTCTCATATTTGTCTTGGAATGCGAGAAAATCAGACTTTTGATGGAAAATTCGATTTTTTTTAAGCCGTTTGAGAAACTAACAGCAAATCTGTTAAATCTGGGCTCTGTCTATTTTATGATGAAGAAGACTTTGAGAATTTAAATAAAGTCTATTATTTAGTATTTACTTACGTTACATGAAGCAACCCCTCTTCTTCAAAATGAAATGCAACCGCTACTATTGCCGTACAAAGAGTTTCATAACAACCAAGTTTCAGTGTAAAAAAAGTCTCTTTAAGACTTTTCACTATAACCTTTCACTGTTTACTATATCCTTTCACTATTGTCAGGTATCGTTATAGGGCTTTGAAAATGTAATGTTTTAAATTTTGGCTCACTAAATGAACAAGACGCATCAAAGGACTGAAAAGCATTATACAAAGAAAAAAAAAGATCAAAGCTAATGATATTAACACTATTCAATTTAATTATACTATTAAATTTATATAAAGCATACAAAGTTCAAATTAAAGATTTAAAACCTATATCAGCTTACAGCACAGCAAGTGAAAAGTACAATCCTCGAAAGATACAAATATCAATTCACAAGCAATCACATAAAGAGCACAAACTTGTAAGTATATTACGTCCGCAAAGGTCTTGGAAAATTAGCAAATTTCTCACTCGGCTGGGAAAGATTCCGGTCTATTTATAGGGAGGGAGTTAGAGCCCTCCAGTATAGGAGTTCTATAAATTGCATCTCCCGATATCATTTAATTTATAACAAATAGAACGTTTAACAACAATTTCCCTTTTAAGGAAGGGGTGGGGATGATACAGAGCCACACAATTTAATCGGTGACGTCAATATCAAAATAAAACAGTGGGAGAGGAGGGGCGGTCACGACAACGATCCGTTGAAGTCAACAATTAGCGGGGCACATGGTGACAGGTTATATAAAAAACAAAACAAACTAGAACCTTTCACTACAACCGTTCAATGTAATCCAGTTGATCTGTTACAACAGACTGCTTACAGACGAAGTATTACAGAAGACTGCTTACATAAAACTTAGCAAAGAAGATTGCTAAAAGACACCTTAGTACTGCTTACAAAGTATTACAACAGACTGCTTACACACAACGTATTACAACAGACTCATTACAAAGTATTACAACAGACTGCTTACAAAGTATTACAAGATACTGCTTACACACAACGTATTACAACAGACTCATTACAAAGTATTACAACAGACTGCTTACAAAGTATTACAACAGACTGCTTACAAATAGTTGTTTGGCATGCATCTTGAAACTCTCCCTTTCAAAGTTCAAGCATATCATACATTTTCAGTGCCGCACACGGTATTGCCATCGCGTGAATGTTAAATGTATTGTCAGTGCTACCAACCGTTTTACCATTATATGAACATTCTTCTATTTCCAGTGCTGCCAACCGTGCTACCATCCCATGAACCAAAGTTTGACATGCCTATGGTCAATGTCACTATAAAAGAAAAGAGTACTGCTATTCTCCCGTGCTCGGTCAGTTCTTTAGGGAGTTACCAGGTAGGCACTTTCACGTAGCAGTAGAGATTCATTCCGATATTCAGTATGAATTTGCAAACTTTTTGACTTACGAGATTACTTGTTGAATATTTCAATGTAACATAATCAGGGACGTCATTTCGGTTAGGCAGGGTGGGGCATTTGCCGCCCCCTCCCCCAAATTATTTAATTTGCTATGTACTGTGGCGCCTCCAGTAATAAACAACTTAACAAGCCGACCAAGTTTTGGTCCCCCACCCCACAGCCTCGAAAAAAATTCGAAATGACGCCCCTGAATATAATAATAGTGATTGGAGGTTCAGTAGATGTCTTAGATAACATAGTGATGTTACCAGCATCATGGAAGCATAACGATTCTTCAATGATTAAACAAGACTAATAGTTTCTTATTTCGATGAATGCCCGGACAGGTCGTATGGACGGACCAGTTTTCTACCCTACTCACCTTTGAGGAGAGGAGAATCATAGATGATGAAAGGTGAGTAGACAACGTTGTTTATTTTGTAGATAGTGTTCAATCAGTCAAGAAAAACAATGATTGACTAATTCAATAACATTAGGTTAAATATACTGAGGGGTTTGGTTCAAAGACCAATGCACTTGTGCACCTCACCACCTTGAACAACTGTGTGCTACATTATAATGCCAGTGTAATTAGGTATGATATGGTTATGACAAATATACTACACACAGTAAATATAATTTAATTTAGAAAGACTCAATTTTTTTTAGCCACAGGGTAGAAGGTCTCACTTTTTGCATCCTGTTATCATGTCTACTTTTTTTTTTGGCCTTTTATCCCTTTTTGCTTCAGGCTAGAATGTCTAATTTTGTTGCCATCAGATTAGAAAGTCGCATCCTCTATCTCAATTTAGACAATTCAAAAACTACAACATTGCAACATTTGCAACAATATCATCACCAAATTATAAAAATAATAAGAAGAAATAAGACATGCCCCCCACCTCCAAAAAAACCTAACATCTTAAAATAAAAATAATCTCCCACTCGTAACAAACGGGAAATACTATCTCAAAATGAAACCCTGATCCCACGAAGAAGCGAAACGAAATTGAATTCATTCTGTAAGACATATAAATAAGTTACGGTAGAAAAACTATACAGTCGTTATAAGAAATGAACCTCATTAATCAGTCCAATATCACTATGTTCTATTGTCTAGACTCAGTGTTGAAAGACCGTACACACGAGACTGGAATCTCCACATACGAGAAGTCCGTTACAGCGATCAAGGGATCTACAACTGTCAAATCAACACCAGCCCCATCATGATAAAAACAATCAACTTAATAGTCCAAGGTGAGTGGTAAGAGTTGGTAAACTTAACATAGGCAATCTAGAAGATATTATATGTGTGGGGGATGTTTGTGTGTGTAAAAACATAGGCAATCTGGTAGAGCTTACCTGTGTGGGGGATGTTTGTGTGTAGAAAAAGTGTCTTTAAAAAGCGGTCTAAACTGAGACAACCCGAAGCTAGTGGAATCCCCAGAAAACGCTTAAACAAGCAAACACATCACCAGCACCCCGGATGAATGGGACTCTTTAACCTTGGATGACAACTCATCTTAGAGAAGGCGAAATCTGAAAGCAAACCCAGAGATGGACTGTCTATGCAATGTGACATTGACGCAATGAAACTTAAGACGACTCCTGCGACGTACACCTCATAAAGAGCAGAGTGAAACACGCACACACTGCTGGTCATCTACTGCATCCTGGCGTAGTTCCAGTCGCCTTGACCTAAGTCTTTTATGGGCTCAAATAGACAAGGGCGAGAGGGTGAGGCCGACGAATTGAGCATCTCTCCGTCACTTTAAACACAATACAGCTCAAGTCGAGGCTGCTCAAGCCGTAGATGTCCTTCAAAGGACGAACAACAAAGGCACAAATAAAACATTCAATGTCATTTTAAAACTGACGATTTGTAAACGTGCTTAATATGTCACATAATTTATGTTACTAAGATCAACATGATACGTTGTTATTTACATGGAAACTGTCAAAGAAAACCACCGCTAACAACCTTCACCTTGGTAAAGTGATTTTTCTGTATTTTTTTTTATTAAAGGAGACAGCATAACTTGTTAACTTGAATTTTTTTTTCTTTTTTGGAGAAATTATTGGACAAAGAATTACAATACCCCATTCGAAAATTCCATTATGCAGCATTTCAATTACGACCTGTTACTTCGTATCGGGCTATTTATGCAAACATCACTGCACACATTATAGATCCTAATTAGTTTTTAAAAAAAATTAATATTCTGACTTGTCTTTAATTCAATATATATAAAAAATAATACATTTGTTTTTTTTTTTATTAATGTATTTGTAATTTGCATCGTGTCCTTTGTCTCAAGTCACGTGTTGTCTCGTTACAACCAGGTGTTTATTGTTAGGTCACTACGAGACACTTCTCACGGGCTAGTTACGTCCACTCATTTATGTGACCCATTGTTTGGGGGGCGGGAGGTATTGGATGTCTTGACCTATGGTCGCACTCTCGACCTATTCATTGGTAAAAAAAAACATGTGGTCAGTTTTAACAACTTTCCCGACTCATTTACAAATTGGACACGTTCCCACTTCCCCCCCCCCCGCTGATGTCACCTTCCAGTCAAGCCGGTGGCCAAGAACAAAAGTCCAAGTGGCGGTCTTGTTGGGCTCTATCGACCACATGACCATTCCACGTGACCACGTGACCACTTCATGGGGCCGCTTGACCACTCCATGGGACCGCACAGCTGTTTCCAGGAATCTAATTTGTAGAGCGCTTTACGCATCTTGTGCCAATACGTCACTTACAATTTCACTTTACCAAGACCCCCCCCACCCAACCCCCTCCTCCCCAGGGTACTTAAACCCACGAGCGTGTGCTTCTTAGGTGCCTGGAGGTCGGACCTCGCATGGTGAAAGTTAAGCCGTTGTTTGACAATATGGAGTATAGAGATTAGCAGTGTTACTTTCTTAGATGTGTGTATCGTCCAGGCAATGGGTGTTTTCTGGGTAGTCTGTAGGGTGGTCTCACTTGAACGCATGGTACATCCGGTAGACTTTTGAAGCCAGCTCTATGAAATAAACTACAAAATATACCACTACGCTCAGGTCTGGGGGTACTTAAGCTTTGGGGCGCCTATGGACAACCCGGCCCCCGATAACACCGTGAATTTGCTAATTTTCGAGGTCAGTAAAAAATGGACCTACTTGGCATTGAGAGTAATGCGTAGGAGTATGAGCCAATGACGTCAGTGAATAAATAAGAATAAATAACTGGCATTAAAATGCATGACGTCATTCGCCAATGTCTCTATCTTCCAGGGGAATGACCGACTTTAATTTTTTCAAATCTGTGATAGTGATATGAGACTCGTTTTAAACGGATTCTAACAAAAACTGTGAAGGTATAAAAAATGTGGACATCACACGAATACTTTACATGATTGAAACTGGAATGGGCTGAACGTTACCAGCTAAGACCAGCTCTGACCGCCATCTTTCCCGTGCAGTCTCTGACCGCCATCTTTGACTTACGTCTCTGACCACCATCTTTTCCTTACGTCTCTGACCGCATCTTTGCCTTGCGTCTCTGGCCATCTTTGCCTTGCTTCTCTGACGGCCATCTTTGCCTTACGTCTCTGACCGTCATCTTTGCCTTACGTCTCTGACCGCCACCCTTGCCTTGCGTCTCTGACGGCCTGCTTTGCCTTGCGTCTCTGACGGCCATCTTTGCCTTATAGTGAGAATTAAATAAAGTCGTGTTCCTTAATTATAGCTGCTATCCCCAAGGGTGCAGTGTCGAGGGCTGGAACTATTGGGAGTATCGCATTATCATACTGTGTAGTAAAAGGAAGTAACCGGGTTCCTTAGTTAACAAGTTTAGTGATAGTTTACGGGCTCGCTCTACATGCACGGCCACATACTCACAGTGAAGGCGGCATATCAGCTAGTCTAAAATGTGGTATTAATAGTTTGTTGTTAGGTCACTCAATACTTTGTTTACAACCTGCATACTTAAATATGTCATTTTCATCCGTCATTATCCGGGTAATTTTGGTCTACATCTTTTATTTACTTTTTGCTAACTTCTACTTAAGAACCTCCTTTGACTCTACAACACAAATAGATAAATGCACATTTTTGTCTTTTGTAGATTCAACATCTTTCTGTTAACTGATATCCCATCAAGGTGTTATTTTTAGTAAAGGTCAGATGCAAAATGTATTTAAGAAAAAATTTTTTTTTTTACCAAGATGACCAGTTCACTTTCATTTCTCACTCTAAAGAAGAAGCGAACAGTCTGTCATTATATATCAATCTGTTAAACAACATATTGAATGTATGGTTAAATGTATGTTGATATGTCGTGTACTTGATAGAAAGGAAACATCGTAGAGCCCCTAGTTGAATAGTGTTTTGGTAAACAGAACTGAGGTGATATACATGAACTGGCTGGCAGTGCTTGCTTCGTATATCACAGTGGAGCTACATCACTTCATTCCTAGTTTTCCCACTCAAGATTTTATTAAAATACAGTGTAATGATTTTTTTTCTTTCTTTAATACTTGTTAATAATATTTAATTTTATGATCAATATTTCTCATCGCAATTCATCTCATTTCTGGAAAAAAACAACAACCGAGCTCAAAAGTGTTTGCATGGAACTGTGTACTTGACAGTTCCAGTGACGTGGTGTTTGGTTGTTATAGGCATACGCATCTACCAGCAGGCCAGGTGTCGGCTCCTGGGCCGTAGTTTGTCGACCACTGGTATAGAATACAGAACACCTGTTGGAATGACTGGTATTTGTATGCCATGAGTCATGGTCAGGTGTTCGACACACCATACAACATACATAAAACCTATGGGGTGTATCATTCTTAGAATACATGAATGTGATACACTGTAGATGATAATCATACTATTATGTTTCAAAATGTATTCTCTGAATATGAAACAAGAAGCATGGGATTCATTTTAAAGTAATTTGATCAAGTTGGACTGAATAAATTTATATGTTTTTTGATCAGGCTTTTATCATTATACTAGCCAAAATACCCGCCTTTTCTGGAGTTCGTATTCGGAAAAAAAATATATATCATAAAGCGTTGACACCTATTCAAAAACACTTGGCTAAAGTAACCATTAAAATTTTAATTTTTTCATATAAAAGGCCAGATTTATAGTAATTCCTGTAAAAAATAGAATTTTGGGCCCATCCTGTTTCAGTTAATATTCCTCAAACCGGAGTGCCTACCATTGTACAGTTGTAATGTAGGTTGGCTGAAAGGTATTGTGACTGATTTGGGACTAAATCAAACACCTTATAATATACTATATAAAGTTGATAAATAGAAATAACCAAAAGAAAAAACCTAACCTCTAGGTACCCCCCCCCCCAAAGTACCAATTATGCATACCCCAATGAACTGCATGATAATTATAATGTACTATTTTTTTAAAAGCAGGTAAAATTAAACTTTATTTAAAATGTCTGCAGCAAGCAAAAGCGCACTGAAAATGTTTCTTTAATGGATGTTTGAAAGCGAACCATTCTGAATAAAGGCTTGTTGTTAAATTAGGACACCCAAAACTAACTGAACTTTAACAACCATGGGAGCCAGTCAGTATGAGAATAACATTGATTTTTTTTTTCTTAAAACGCTTCACCCAATATGTTTGACGATTTTTTAAATGGCAGCTTTTGTGATAAGGGGATCATGAGTCATGACCCAACTTACCAGGTGGAATGACCAAGTCAAATTTAATTGTGATCCATTGTTTGCTTTTCTTGTGATTGATCAACCCATCCACAATGAGAAAACAACAACAAAAACAACATAGCTTTATATAGTAGATATACGTTTTCTTTCTCTGTGTCTCTATCTATGTCTCTTTGCACAATCTCTTCTATAGATATGTATTGCTTCTGGTTTGTCCGGTGTCTTATTCAAACCCCCCACCCCCCAACTCCCCATTTTTCGTATTAATAGTTGCTGAGTGAAGAAAAAAGGCGGTCACGCAGCGAACTTCATGAGCTGGTGGGTGGGTGGCTGGGTGGCTGGGTGGCTGGGTGGCTGGCTGGGTTGCTGGGTGGGTGGCTGGCTGGCTGGGTGGTGGACTTACAAAATTCCGGACGGCTAATAGACTCACTTCCCGTCAACCTATCGAGCTAAAACTTGGCACATAGACTCGTTGCCAATGATTACAGATTCTTTCAAATCTTCAGCCTCAGCTCACAAAAATTAGTCTCCTGTTTTTCAACGGGAATATAAAATGAAATTCCCAATAATGACGTTCAATGAGATTCTTGAAAAAAATATATAAAAATAGCGCAAGTGCGTTTGGTGCCTTATATTTTCTATTGTTTTTCTGACATAGCGAGTGAAATAATCTGCTGTGTAAAAGAGGGTGGGAGTTAGAACATTAGTATAGTTAAGGGGATCTAGCAATAATTGGGAATCTTATAAAGTTCGTTACTTGTATGCATGTCTTGTCAAATTTTCAGCTCCACGCCCTTCGCTCTATACTACATTTTATAAAGGATTTATACGAAAAATCTATTTTTTTTTAGTGGTTGTTTAATTATTGTAACACTTGGACCCACCGTGTATTTTCTCAAAATGTCCGGACCCGGTGTTAAAAAAAAAAACAGCCACCGGTTAAGTCCTATTATTAAGTAATGCCTCAAAATTTTTTTTGTTTTTTTTTTGTTTTTTGAAGCAGAAAACCCCCTTTAAGTCAACGGGGCGCCACTGCTTGCTAGAAATAAACAACCGTAGAGTCTCCCGTTGAGTAAACTCTTGGCAAGCGGCATCGAGGTGAAGAGTCTTATTTCGCGAGCTACCATTTTGATGACTTCATGGAACACCGCTATCATTCGCCTGTTAATCCCCCAGGGGGGAGACCGCGGATATTCTGTTTAAGTGACTAACCAGATCCATCACATAGTTATCGTTCCGCCTACGAGTTACGTCCCTCGTGTCTGCCCTACAGCCAGGGCCAGAAGATCCCCCGTCACGGGACCCGGTCTTTCCCGCTCTGGGATCTTGGGATCGCAGCAGACGTAGGGGGCAAACATGTTTCTATTTTATTTTTTTTTGTTCCTGGCAGATCTTACTTCAGTAGTTATGCATAGAATTATTTTTACAGCATGCTCAACCAGGGACTCGTGGCTGCAAGAGATGATCAATTCGTTGTTACTGACGCAATCGATGTTCTTTAATTAGCATTACATTACAGAGGGGTGGAGCTTTGGAAAGGTTGGACTACATAACAAACATCTGGTATTGGTCATGGCTAATTATTACACCCCCCCCTCCCCCAACACACACACAGAACACGCTTTAGTTCGTTCGGAAATGGGGTCTTATACCAATATGAAAGAAAGCCACATTCATGAATTTGTGAGGGCAACATTTGTTGGTAATATAATGAATATGTAGAGTCAATTTGGATTGTTTTCATATGATTATAAAACAAATGAAGTAATTAAAGAAGGATATTGAAAACTGTTTCAAATGCAGCCAAAAACTTGGTGGAAAACATGAAAAAGGTTGTCTTTTTTTGGCGTGAACCACGGACGGAATGATCTTAGCTATTTCTTATATGGATTATTTTGCAACTGATCCGCGCTGTAGATCTGATAACTCATTTGTTTTCGATTGAAATTCGATTGTCTGAGATCGAATACGAAACGTCGAATGATCTGTTCGACCGTGAATGAAATAATAATTGTATATTTGATGCGTCTTTATTGAACTTAAAGACAAGGTAATTGCGCGAAATCTTTCGACGCGCTTCTTAAGGCTTAAGTACACGAAGGAAATAACACATCAACTACGCGTAAATATTTATGATTCATAGAGTGGCCATTGTGTTTCACGACAATAGGGTTCAACAGTAAGGCCTGGCGATCACTGCTAGACACAGCCAAGTTAAGACCCTCTATGGATTTACGATAATCTCACGTTGCCATAAAAACAAATACGCTGAGCGACAATTCGCTTGTTTTGGAAGTTATCCAACAAAAAAATTCTCCAACCCACCCTGTCTAACCCACCCTGTCCAGACCACCCTGTCCAGACCATCCCGTCCAGACCATCCCGTCCAGACCATCTTGCCCATCCGGTGTTTTATGATGGTTGAAAATTACCGTCTTCTTGTAGTTATGATTCAATTCGCAGAACAAAAATTGCACATTAAGGGATATGTTTCATATATCTGAGGGCAAAAGAATTAAGCCCACATAACACCCTCAAACTAATCATCCATAAATAGTCTATCTAGTTATCTGTTAACGATAGAGAAAGATATACTCTAGAATATAAATTACATTTAAAACATTATTTAGTTTACAAATTTGTTTATCGGAAGTTAGGTGACAAAAAGTTTTAGGTTTGAACAGAAGATGGCAAATCCATTTCTTTAAGCGAGAACACCGACTTTGATTAAAAAATCAGTTCGTTCAGAGCCGTTCTTAGGAGTTTGGGGGCCCAAAGCATGGAGCGTAGGTTGGGGGCCCCGGAAGAGGGGGTCGGGGTGTGGAGCTCCCTCGAGCTGAGGAGAAAACACCACCCACCACTGCGGCACCTCCATTCTGCCTTCATCAAAGTTTCCTCTTTGCTCGCGTCTAACCACTAACCATATTGATAATTCCGCCACTAGAGAAAATGTGCACTTCTGAAATATATGGACACGGGGGCCCCCTCACGTTCGGGGCCCTACGCGGATGAGTAGTCAGCGTATGCCTAAGAACGGGCCTGGCTCGTTAGTCTTGAAAATTCCTACACTATGCCTAGGACAGTGGTTCTCAAGCCGTTCTCCGCTGAATAGTGGTGCTCCATGAAGCCCCTTCAAAATACGACATGAATTGTTTTGTTTACAAAGTCTAATGTCCATTTTAGATGTAGTACATATGCTATTTAATGTATTATATGATACTGGTTTGGGACTACTTGTTTTGAACGCTCAACTTTTGCACATGACTAATGAATTAAAGCTATCTGTGACCAATGATTTGACAGTGCTTACACGCGGCACGTCCATTCTCTTATGGATGAAACTCTGAGATTAGCACACATGCAAGTGACTGTGAATGGCTGCCCATGACAATGTGCTGCACACGTCAAATTATGATCATTTATAATATGGACTTATACCGGACTCAATTCCTGTTAAATTGTTAAGTTCATTCGAAAACACAAGGTATCAATACTTTGATGTCAATATTGGTAATCATTAAATAATTCTTAATTATCGGCGTCTTCCGCCGTTAAAAAGGGGGCGCGGTCTAATGTACAGGATGGCTGTGAGGCCAGCCGACGTCATTTTGTCCGTTATCCGGCCCGCTGTGAAAAAAAAAAGTTTGGTGAACCCTGGTCTAAACGAAGACGAAGAACTGGCGTCACCCTATCCAGATCGTGGATTCAAACTGACGTTTATTGAAAATGCCCCTGAAAAATGTCTGGATCTCTGTTTAAAGATGAATCCCCGTATCTTGCCACATATAAAAGAACTCAACGCATAAAATTATTTTCCTTTGCGAATCATACTTTTCAACAACGGTAAATATTAAAAGAAAGAAACAAGAGAGATTAGGCAAATAAGATGAAGAGATGTGAGTGACTTTATCATTTGTTGGTACCAGTACTGCTGTCAATTGCAGAAATCATCAAGCTTATGGATCGCATTAAATTTGAGAATTTCTTGTTTTGTATTGCCTGTTTAATTCATTTTAAAATAAATTTGTTTCAATCAATATCGGTATTTTGATCTTTTATCAAATTAAAACTTTTAATCAGGGCCGGACAACACTAAGCTCTGACTTTTTTATACGCTGGACATACTTACAGTACAAAATACTTACAGTACAACATACTTATAGTACAACATACTTACAATACAACATAAGCTTTAAGTAGGGGCAACCTCTTTTAAAAATCAAGGGCGCAAATATGTTTATGAAATTAACATAATACTGTATTGTAAGTGTTCCACACACACAAAAAAAAAGCAGAGCTTAGTAGTGTTCCTCGAGTTCAAAAAGAATGAGAACCGCTGGCCAAGGGAGTCGCGCATCAAGGGACATTACCTTGTGTCAAGCCCACAAGAAAAGGTGTTTATCCACAATCCTATCAGTGGTAGCTGCCCTTTTCTTCAAGGCCAATTTCTGCAGATTTGCTTTGTTTGCCCACCAGACAGTGGCGTCCCCAGGAGGCGGGGGTGTTATAAACATTTAAACGACTTACGGAGAAGAATTTTATCCAAAAACTTATTCCAATAGACAAAGAAAATAACTACACTCTGTTTTGTTACTTTTCTACCAGGGCCCGGACATCTGCATGGATTGGAATATATTACTTTTTTTAGCACCTTTAACTTATCATCCCAATGCTCTCCTCCTTAGTAATACTACAGCGTAGGAGGACGTAGGCGTGCCCCACCACCCCCGTCCATTCGAACCAGTTGCATTTGGCCTCTATGCACGGACCTCTAGCTGTGAGAGATCTGCTTGAACGTCATCAAGTCGTTTCATTGAGAAACCTTCATTCCTAATCGTTTCATTGAGAAACCTTCATTTCAAGTCGTTTCTTTGAGAAACCTTCATTTCAAGTCGTTTCTTTGAGAAACCTTCATTTCAAGTCGTTTCTTTGAGAAACCTTCATTCCAAGTCATTTCATTGAGAAACTTTCATTCCAAGTCGTTTCATTGAGAAACTTTCATTCCAAGTCGTTTCTTTGAGAAACCTTCATTCCCAGTTATTTCATTGAGAAACTTTCATTCCAAGTCATTTCATTGAGAAACCTTCATTCCAAGTCATTTCATTGAGAAACTTTCATTCCAAGTCATTTCATTGAGAAACCTTCATTCCAAGTCGTTTCATTGAGAAACTTTCATTCCAAGTCGTTTCTTTGAGAAACCTTCATTCCAAGTTATTTCATTGAGAAACTTTCATTCCAAGTCGTTTCTTTGAGAAACCTTCATTCCAAGTTATTTCATTGAGAAACTTTCATTCCAAGTCGTTTCTTTGAGAAACCTTCATCCCGTCGTGTTCCCTAGAAGATACTAATTAAAGGACCGCATTCAAGAAAGTAAATGAAAAATCAAAACAAAGTTTGTGGAAGCTGTGTGTCATGTCCTTAAATTTTTCCCTAAATTTTGTTGTTAGGGGTTATTTAATTCATTACACATAAAATGGCCAACAATAATGAAATCGTTTTGTCGGATGAAACATTATATACATATATATAAACATATGATCTGACATTAAGAAAAAAGGCTTGAATTCCTGTAGGCGGTATAATGATTTGCATAACATAATAAAAATTGATTTTGTTAAAAGTAACTTTTGTTTACTCCGTTGATCTCATTTTAAAAAACAACGACTGAACACGATGCACTTAAAATGTAGATTTCTATGTTTGCCTCAGCTTGACCGTGTACACATTAATATTCTCTCGTCATATAGCTTTAAGTCCCTTCCTACCGAGTTTCACCCCTTCACAACTAGCATGACGATTTCCATAATCAGGGCTCCCCAGTCATGTGAACACGGCCACCATAATAGTAAATATGTGAAGCATTTGATGTCTACAACCATTTCTGATTTGATGTCTATGTTTCAGTTCTATTTAAAAGCTTTCATTTAATGGTTTAAGCACAACACGGGGACAAAATAAGGTTATAGTTTTTGCAAATTTTTTTTTAACAATCCAAGGAAATATATTTTGAGCAATTCCCTTGTACTCAATTTCCATTTTAGAGTCTTTGGGTATTGGTTAAAAAATATTCTTTCCTCATGGGACTACTACATAACATTTATCTATACCAATATTAATGTATCTGTCTGTATTTCAATTCATTCTAAATTTCGCATTGCTAGTGTTCTGAGAACCGATGATGGGAAACTCTTCTATAAACTATTTTAATTTATAAAAAAATGTTGGGGCCAAGACAACAGCTAAATATGTGGAATTGAAGGGATTATTTGTTCCTAGTTGATCTGACGTGCAACTGGTATGACGCACAACTGATGTGACGTGCAAGTGATGTGGCGTACAATTGATATGACGCACAACTGATATGACGTACCACTGATATGACGCAAAACTGATGTGACATACAACTGATATAACGTACATTCTGATATGACGTACAGCTGATAAGAGGTACAACTGATGTGAAGTACAACTGATATGACGTACAACCGATATGAGGTCCATCCGATATGACGCACAACTGATGTGACGAAATCAGAAAATAATTTTTTGTTCAGATTTCAAAAATAATATAAAAACTAACTAAAAAAAAACCCAATACTCAGATTGATCATTTAGAGAGCAGGAGAAAATCCTGGACGTTTTTAAGTGGATACTTGTGTTCAGCTTTCTTTCATTAATAACAACGAGAAAATCAACATTCACAAGCGAACTTTACATGAAACACAATTAGTTTACTCGGCAATCTCTTTAAATATCTATTGTAACGCTCACACATCATGTCTGATAGAGAGACCTGTTGTAACGCGCACACATCATGTCTGATAGAGAGACCTGTTGTAACGCTCACACATCATGTCTGATAGAGAGACCTGTTGTAACGCTCACACATCATGTCTGATAGAGACCTGTTGTAACGCTCACACATCATGTCTGATAGAGAGACCTGTTGTAACGCTCACACCTCATGTCTGATAGAGACCTGTTGTAACGCTCACACATCATGTCTGATAGAGAGACCTGTTGTAACGCTCACACATCATGTCTGATAGAGACCTGTTGTAACGCTCACACCTCATGTCTGATAGAGACCTGTTGTAACGCTCACACATCATGTCTGATAGAGAGACCTGTTGTAACGCTCACACATCATGTCTGATAGAGAGACCTGTTGTAACGCTCACACATCATGTCTGATAGAGAGACCTGTTGTGACGCTCACACATCATATCTGATAGAGAGACCTGTTGTGACGCTCACACATCATGTCTGATAGAGACCTATTGTAACGCTCACACATCATGCCTGATAGAGACCTGTTTTAACGCTCACACCTCATGTCTGATAGAGAGACCTGTTGTAACACTCACACATCATGTCTGATAGAGACCTGTTTTAACGCTCACACATCATGTCTGATAGAGACCTGTTTTAACGCTCACACCTCATGTCTGATAGAGACCTGTTGTAACGCTCACACATCATGTCTGATAGAGAGACCTGTTGTAACGCTCACACATCATGCCTGATAGAGATCTGTTGTCGCGGTTCATGAAATCTGTTTTTAGATTCAACTCTATTGAATAAACACTTGGTTTATTTTAGAATTCATGTGGCAAGCAAGGTTTTTGGTTTTGCTAAAAAAACAAACAAACAAAAAAAACACTCCCGTCTCTAACACAGAGAGCTTCCGGTTTCAAACATTCTCGCGGTTTCTTGTTTTGTTTGGTCTGCTTAAGAAGGCATCTTGCCGATGAGTCCTTTTAATTGTCCTGTCTTTATTTCTAGTGCTAACAATATCTTGTAATTCAATACTAAATTAGTATATACTAATAATTAACATATATAGCCTTGTCTCTTATCGTGTAATTTTGTTGTACTGAAGTCTTACAGAGTGCGCTCTTTTGAAGCGATAGCGCCAAAATTATGGAACAGTGTGCCTCAATCTTTGAGGGAAATTGTTAATGAGAAAAAATCATTTAAGAAACAATTTAAAACTTTTTTGTTTAAATAGATTTCGGAGGACCAGAGCGCAGTGAGCAGTGAGCACTGAGCATGGTAAAATGGCATGGATACCGGCGCGATATAAACATCAAATCAATCATTCAATCAATCAAATCAAATGTTATCCATTGTCTGATCTGTGTCCAAATTTAGTAAGTTCAAAATGCGTGACAAGATTAAGAATCAGGCCAAAGTCCAACTTTCTCGAGCAAGGACAAAGGTTGTTGCAGATGACATAACTGGGATCATATTCAATAGAATAAACGCGTGTCATATAATATATCTAGGAACGTGTCTGTTAAATTTTCCTCGTTTAAGTATAAAATATTTAATTATATCCTATTAGGGTTATATTTATCACAATATCTGTAAATAAATATATTGTGGGACACTGATATATATTTTAACAAGTTATTAATGCTAAATTTAATTAAATTCAACACCTTCCAATTCCAAGGTATTATACCATCTAAAAACTAAAAGAGATTGAGCTGTGAAATAAAGACGACAAAGGGTGGTCTCCCGGACATTGACATAATTAATCTGAAGATTTGACATAAAGATGTTGCATTCCGTGAAAATCTTGACTCGATCTATGGTAATAAAAGTGAAAATGGGGTGACAATGACTGGCGTGACCACGAATGACGTGACCATGAATGAAGTGACCATGAATGAAGTGACCATGAATGAAGTGATCATGAATGAAGTGACCATGAATGACGTGACGACGAATGAAGTTACCTTTAATGAAGTGACCATGAATGAAGTGACCATGAATGAAGTGACCATGAATGAAGTGACAATGAATGAAGTGACCATGAATGACGTGACGACAATGAAGTTACCTTTAATGAAGTGACCACGAATGAAGTGACCATGAATGAAGTTACCTTTAATGAAGTGACCATGAATGAAGTAACCATGAATGAAGTGACCATCAATGAAGTGACCATGAATGAAGTGACCATGAATGACGTGACCATGAATGATGTGACCATGAATGAAGTGACCATGAATGACGTGACCATGAATGAAGTGAGCATGAATGAAGTGACCATGAATGAAGTGACCATGAATGACGTGACCATGAATGAAGTGACCATGAATGACGTGACCACGAATAACGTGACCACGAATGAAGCTACCTTTAATGAAGTGGCCATGGATGAAGTGACCATGAATGACATGACCATGAATGAAGTGAGCATGAATGAAGTGACCATGAATGAAGTGACCATGAATGACGTGACCATGAATGAAGTGACCATAAATGACGTGACCACGAATAACGTGACCACGAATGAAGCTACCTTTAATGAAGTGGCCATGGATGAAGTGACCATGAATGACATGACCATGAATGAAGTGAGCATGAATGAAGTGAGCATGAATGAAGTGACCATGAATGAAGTGATCATGAATGAAGTGGCCATGAATGAAGTGACCATGAATGACGCGACCATGAATGAAGTGACCACGAATGACGTGACCATGAATGAAGGGACCATAAATGACGTGACCATGAATGAAGTGACCATGAATGACGTGACCATGAATGACGTGACCATGAATGACGTGACCATGAATGACGTGACCATGAATGAAGTGACCATGAATGACGTGACCATGAATGAAGTGAGCATGAATGAAGTGACCATGAATGAAGTGACCATGAATGACGTGACCATGAATGAAGTGACCATGAATGACGTGACCACGAATAACGTGACCACGAATGAAGCTACCTTTAATGAAGTGGCCATGGATGAAGTGACCATGAATGACATGACCATGAATGACATGACCATGAATGAAGTGAGCATGAATGAAGTGAACATGAATGAAGTGACCATTAATTAAGTGACCATGAATGAAGTGACTATGAATGAAGTGACCATGAATGAAGTGACAATAAATGACGCGACCATGAATGAAGTGACCACGAATGACGTGACCATGAATGAAGTGACCATGAATGACGTGACCATGAATGACGTGACCATGAATGACGTGACCATGAATGACGTGACCATGAATGACGTGACCATGAATGTAGTTACCTTTAATGAAGTGACCATGAATAGAGCGATCATGAATAAAGTGATTCGTTCCCTAGATTTACTAATTAATTTTCCCCACCATCATTTTCTTCTATTATTTTCCCATCTAATAATTTATTCGCCAACATTCTTTAAAAAACTAATATTATTTTCAAGAATAACTCCTTGATTTGCATGGAGCCGAACAGAAGCAGGCGATGAGACGTCCGACCGGAAAGGGAAATAACTGCTGGGAACGTCAGCTAAACTCGGTCTCATTGCTCATTTCTGCCGGATCCAAAAATAACGGACATATAGCTTCTTACACAATATTAAAAGTGTACATTATTTATAGAATATTATCCAAAAAAAAATGACCTCTAAAGTCTAAAGGAATTTGTGAGATTTAAACTAGTTATTGACTAAAATATTCGCTTTAAAATTTTCAATCAACTGTTAGATGTAAGAGTCATGCTTATCTTAGCATCTCTGGTGACTCTGACCTTTTCAGGAATTTGTGACCGGTAGTTTTCTGAGACTTTCATGACTCGTACAAAAATGTCAAATACATAGAAAGCCTGTCTATAAGTACGAATCTTGTAACCGCCAAACCCTAGATCGCAGTTTGTGTGTGTGTGTGTGTTGACATAAGTTGATCCATTAAGCAAGACATTACATTACAGCCATGACTCATGTGCTCAGCTCCCAGTAACTAACTTCTCTCTGTGTGTGTGGGGGTCCAAGTTACTTTATCCCTCTGTCAGCGCTCAATTTTTTAATCGACTCCAGCAGGCATTCCGTGATCCGGTCACCGTAAGGCAATAGTCAATACGCACACGAGAAGCCGCGGATCAGTGCGCCGAGCGTTGATCGAGGGCCTGAAGTTTTATCACGAGTACACGACTGGGAAACGCCGGCCTCACGCACCACTAAAAAGAAAACATCATGGTACCAAACATCTGGTGATTTTTATTTTAGAGTTCCTTGTGACGTGCTAGTGTGTTAGGAGTCTTGAAGGGGGCAGGGGGGGGGGGGGTGAGGGGGTAGGGGAGGGGGGGGCTGAGGGGTCTGGGGGAGGCGGGGGGGGGGGGGGGGGGGGGGGAAGGGCTAGGGGATGAGGAGGCTGAAGGGTCTGAGGGAGGCAGGGGGCTGAGGGGGTGCAAGAGTGAAGAACCGACAGAATTGATCCCGATTAAGTAAGAGGAGAACTTGGCGAGAATTGATGTTACCTGACACAATCTAAAACCACAATCTCCTACAAATATACTGGTTTATTCGATTACCAGCGACGCCCACGGGTGTTTATAAGTATGTATTTTGTCTACATATCGATAGATTTATTGATTATCGGCGGTTGCGCTATTGATTAAATAGTAATGATTAAATTCAATTTCAAGAAATGGCTGTAAATAAATGACAGTATATTCCTTTCATGATGCCAATATTTGATTTCGAACATTTATTTAGCTTGACTTCAGCGAGAATCAAATACAGCAGGTATTACAGAGAGTTAGCAACTAAATGAGAGCATGACATTCACTCATTGACACCGCGTTACGCCAGGGTTCCATAGGTTTGTATCATTTTGTTGGTCATACTTACCCTTGCGCGCGTCTTGGTAGAATAAACTATAGCCGTAATCTACACATTTGTTGAGCCATCGTAGTCATCTCTATTGAAGTGAGAGGAGACGGAACGTGGATTATTTTGAGCAATGTTACGTAAGTGTTCACTGAACCTGTCGTTGCCCGGTGTCTCCGATATAACCTTTTAGGCCTCGTTTACATTAAGTAGATAAAACATCAGATAAAACATAATATGTGAACGAGACTAAAAGAATTTGACTTCTAGTGTGCTACACCAGGGAATGACGCAAGTAAGCCAAACACAGGTGCCATCTAGGATTAAGCCAAACACAGGCGCCATCTAGCCTTAAGTCAAACACAGGTGCCATCTAGCCTTAAGCCAAACGCAGGCGCCATCTGACCTTAAGTCAAACACAGGCGCCAACTAGGCTGCATTCTGTACCAACCTGCTGTTTGAGTTTTGTACATTAAGGTGCTTAAAGTTCTGAAACACGTATTTTCCAATGTCATAAATTGTAACAGCTGTAAAATATTACATTTACTTTGAAAGGTCTACATTTGCAATGTTTAAGGTCTGATCCCCCCTCCCCCCTCCCCCTTTTTTTGTTGTTGTTGTGCAAACACATTTTCTTTTCACCCACGACCACCTCAACACTTTAGGAAAATAAATGGGAAAACACGCAGATCAGAGAAAACATGTGTAGACATAGTTATATTACCAGTCTATAGACAGACGCAAACAAACAAACCAACCAACAAACAAACAAACACACACACACACACACACACACACACACAGACACGTATCTGATTTCATGAAACTTCCTCCCCAAATTGAATAGCGTTATTGTTTTGTAATTATGACAGCAATGCGCTAAAAGACCGTCATACAATTTTGTTTGAACGCATTTACCGAAACACTCTACAATAATTTTTCATAATTACAACCTAATTCAATTAATTTAATTCTATGCCTATGTACTGATAATTATTAGTCAATTTACCCGTTCCACTACCTCCTCCCCCACATTTTTGTGTGGCGCCAGTGAGAACATTGCAATGTGTGGGACCCCCAAACAATAGAATTGTATTAGTTTGAATCATTTTGTTTTTGAAATGTGTACGTATAACTTTGTAATTTCAACACTGTGATTGAACAGTGATTTTGAAAAAAAGTTCTTTGTAATGACAATATCACGACAAATGACGTAATCAACGATTTAGGACAGACCGGCACAACTCAAAATGTAAGGCCGTAATACTTTATGAAAGCTTGTGCGGGCCAAAAGAAAATACGATGGGACTTGTGCGGGCCAAAAGAAAATAGGACAGGGGGGAAAGCTATTAAGAAAATAATAAGAATAAAGAATATTTCGTTATTTCGCGGGCCGCAAAATGGGTGCTGCGCCACATGCGGCCCGTGGGCCATATGTTGTGCAGACCTGATTTAGAGCATAGGAAATGAGCATTTTGTAAACGCTAAGAAATTCAAAGACTAAAACACTGCCATGGGAAGGGCAAGTGAATGTAGGGACTCACTGTATATGGCTGGCTTCTACAGTTGGTCTTGTACACGGCTGTGCTATTTAGTTGGTCCTGCACACGTGTGTCCTGTACATCAATGTCTTAATACACGACTCCCTCTCTCATCGTGTGGCACGGGCTTGCCCGGTGCGGTATCGACTACGAAAGCCATAAACTCATCCCGCCGCAGACTTTGTGATTTGGCACCAATATTTTAATCCACTCTGAGAGGTTCACATTTGTTGCCACATGAAATGTTTACATTTGTCACCGCACGAAGGGTGCACATTTGTTTCAATGAATGAGCTCCTCTGATCGAGCCGGGATGACATCAGAGTTTAGTGCAAGGACTATGTTTTAACGAAATATTTATGTTACAATGTCAAGGGAGGAAAACTGGCAGTCAGCTGTTATATTTATTGAATCTTTGTTTTTAGAAGCTCTCTGCGTCTTTTTCCTTATAATTATTATTTGTCCATTAGTGATTTTAAATATTGATATATCAAAGACTTTGTGACAACCTCAAAATCCGAAATAATAATAGTTACTTTAGGATGTATGTATCCCGTTTAACACACTGTGTTACCGGATGTTACCAAAAAAAAAATAATTAAAAAACCAGACGGAGTTTTGAAATACATTTCGGCCAAGTAGTGGACATTTCGGCCAAGTAGTGGACATTTCGGCCAAGTAGTGGACATTTCGGCCAAGGAGCCTTCGACAGAAAACAATACAGAGACGGACAAACTGAGCTTGTATACATATTTAGTTAACAGGGAATGGAAGACATATTCAATCACGTAAATCAAAGAATTTGAAAATGAGATTAACAGGAAATGTAAAAGTTTAAAATTAAATGAAACAAGAGGGAAATTAAAGGTTACTATAAAACAGGTAGGTCTGGGTAGATGAGGTTAGTAAGGATGGTGGATATGAGGCAAATATTATTGAATGAACACAAATGGGCTCTTGCCTTACCTACATATATTTGGAAAATGGCTGGTCGACTGCTCCAGGATCAAACAGAAACTTGTCCATCTCTACCCTAGTCAGCGATGAGGCCATAACAGGCAGTCCCGGCTCATAAAAGCAAGCACAAAAAACATAAACAACTCATTCCTGCCAAAGACACTAAGGGACTGGTACAAGCTTAATAAAGGAAAAGTTGAGGCGACAACACTTGCATTATTTGTGTCTATTGCCTACCCCCAGTTCCTGATACCCTTGCTGTGTAGCCCTTGCAACCAGTGAAATATCCTCTTCAACACCAGGCACAAACACATTTCGAAACGCATCCACATCCACATGAGATAGAATGACCAATACATTGATCATGGGCGCTTAGTTTATAGAGGAAGAAGAACTCTAGGCAAACACAAAGAGAGAACAAATTATCAGAATGTTAAGTTTTTACTTCTTGTATGGTTCAGAAAGATGACACTCGGTAAGAAAGTGGCGATTAGTAAAGAAAGATTACGGTCAGTAAAGAAATATTGGGGTAAGTAAAGAAGGACTGGAAAAGACATCAAACTTTTATTAGAGACCGACCGAATTTCGGCCTCAGTTTCGGCGCCGAAAGTGGCCATTTTATCACTTTCGGCTTAATTTCGGTTTCGGCCGAAACTGAAAGTTAACTTTCGGCTTAATTTCGGTTTCGGCCGAAAGAGAAAAGTTAACTTTCGTTTTTAACTTTCGGTAGGCAATAGACACAAATGTTGCAAGTGTTGTCGCCTCAAATGACTTAACTTTCAGCCATCTGGCCGAAAGTGACTGAGGTTTTCGGTCATCTAATTCTCAGCAAAAGAGATATGTAACAACAAACTAAGCGATATTTAAGAACAAACTAAACGATCTTTAAAAACAAATTAAGCGATCTTTAAAAACTAACTAAGCGATCTTTGGGAACAAACTAAACAATATTTAACAACAAACTAAGCGACATTTAAGAACAAACTAAACGATCTTTAAAAGAACCTAAACGATCTTAAAGAACAAACTAAGCGATTTTTAAGAATGAACTAAATGATCTTTAAGAACAAAACGAATGATCTTTAATAGTAAACTAATTGATTTGTAAGAATAAACTAAGCGATCTTTTACAGAAAACTAAATGTTCTTTAGGAACTAACTAAAAGATCTTTAAGAACAAACTAATCGATCTTAAGAAAAAAAATCGATTATCTATAAGAACAAACTAAACGATATTTATGAAAAAAGTAAGCGATTTTTAATAACAAACAGAAAGATCTATACAAACAAACTAAATGATCTTTAATAACAACTGACTGATCTTTAAGAACAACCAATTGACATTTAAGAACAAAATCAATGATCTTTAAGAGCAAATTAAACTATCTTTTAATATCACAAACTAAGCGATCTTTAAGAAAAAACTTAGCGATCTTAAAAAACAAAATAAATGATCTTTAACAACAAACTAAGCGATCTTTATGAACAAACTAACCGATCTTTAAGAACAAATAAAACGATCATTAACAAAAAACTGAGCGATCTTTAACAACAAACTAAGCGATCTTTATGAATAAACTAACCGATCTTTAAGAACAAATAAAACGATCATTAACAAAAAACTGAGCGATCTTTAACAACAAACTAAGCGATCTTTAACAATAAACTAAGCGATCTTTAAGAACAAACTAAACGATCTTTAACAACAAGATGTTATATTAGATGTTTATTTATTAATATTCACGATTATCTCATTTTTAATAAAAAGAATGTAAATATTTATACTTTCCTCCCATCATTTTCCATATATGCAGAATGTATGCGGGAACGAATTTCAAAATATCTAAATATTTCATTTTCGGTTTCGGCTGAAAGTCATTTTTAACTTTCGGCCTTTTTTCTGTTTCGGCCGAAAGTCATTTTTAAACTTTAGGCCTATTTTTCGGTTTCGGCCGAAAGTCATTTTAAACTTTCGGCCTATTTTCGGCTTCGGCCGAAATCAGAAAATCACTTTCGGTCGGTCTCTAACTTTCATGAATAGTTAACCGCATGGGGAACCTAAACATCAGGAGGTTCAACAAAAAAATAATAATAAGGAACTTCACGGTATTTAGTCATACAATGTAAGGAGGTGGATAGATAGATAGATAGATAGATAAATATATAGATAGACAGATAGATAGATGATAAGAAGATAGATAATAGATAGATAGAGAGACAGATACACAGAGTTAACAAGTGAAAATGGAATATGACAATCATTGATTCATACGACGTAATGTCATGGTGCCATAAATGTGTATCTGTTAGTCTTCCACACTTACCCTTGCATGCGTGTTAGCAGAAGATACAACAACCGTAATGGAAAAATCTGTTGAGACATCGCTCGTCTTGAACAATGTTACGTAGGTGTACACTGAGCCTATCAGCCAGTCGTTGTCCAGTCCCTCCCACATATCATTCCAAGCATCGTTTGCATACTTTTTGTAAACAGTATTACAGCTGATACAAGGGAACCCATCTTTTCATTCGACAAGAACCCATTGGGAAGCCACTTTGCCGAGTTTGAATAATGTAAGAGTTCAACCACATTGATGGCTTCAACCACATCGCTAGCTTCAACGACATCGCTTAGTTACAGAATTGGAGGGGTGGGTTTGGAGGTGGCTATGAAACAGAAGGTCAAGTAAATTCCTATCGCGTCTAAAGACCACGAGAGGGAGTGATGATAAAATGTTGTATGACTCAGGGATAGCTACAATAATATCACGATTGGCTTTCGAAATGAGCCCGGAACCCAAGTGTAGTAGAAAGAGATGTAGAGACTGTAGAGACATTGGAAAGCGACCTTAAGAAAAAACAATTACATGCAAATAATGATTTAGCCTTATCCTAAGAGACCTACCAATAAGTCATTAATTAGTCATTCCCAAACGCTCTGAGACCTACCATAATCTTTCTGCGTATCATTGCTGAAGTCACGTGGGGCACCCATAAATACGCAGAAAGATTATGGTAGGTCCCCCCCCCTGCAGTGTAAACAAAACCAGAACGAGGCAGAGCTCGCGCAGTCATAACGAGGCTGGCAGGAATTATGTATTATGCGGCCGAAGGGTTTAGTTTCTTGGTTCCATAAAAGGGGGGACAACCCCACCGGGGAAAAGGGATTGCTGGAATGGCGACGGATTTATAAGAACAAGGGACATGATTAAGGTCATTAATTACTCTCGCAGACGGGCAAACCCCGAGATGTGTCGAGACTTAGAAGAAAAGAGATTAAAAAAAACCAAAACAAACAAAGACCTTCAAAGATGTTACAAAACTGAATGAGTATCGTGTGTGGTATGCTTAACGTGAATCTTCCTGAATTATACTATTTAATAATTTAAAAAAAATCTAATCAATAAGCAAAGATACGCAGTTAAAAGAGAGGATCTGAAAGTTTGAACTGCTGGACTATTATTGCCTTTATAGGCTCAGCAGGCACCAATGTTATCAAATTGACGTATCATTTTACAACGTTATTTTGGCGATAATAAATGTAACGATAGCAGCTACACATTATTTACAGACCCGTTGAAGAAATCGCAGTATTTAACAATTTTTTTAAACGGCTGATATTATCGTCCGTCGCATGGAAGATGACCAAAATTTTGACTTGACTTGAGGTGTAGTTTGTTTACAGTGAGAGTTGTTCAATTCGTCAGCCTCACTCTCTCGTCCATGGCTATTTGATCCAATGACAAAACTTAGTTAAGACGACTGGAAACAGCGGTAGAATGAGGTTCGGGAAGGTATGGACAATTCGTTGATGCTTGCAGACAGTTACTCACTTTGTCCAATGTTTTTATATGTGCATTATAGCGGGTAAATGCGTTTTTTTTCTCGTCCCACCACTCAAAATGTAATGTCTTCTAGGCAATACAACCGAACATGTTGTCTTCCTGGCTAAACAACACATATACTGTCTTCCTGGCCAAACAACACATCTAATGTCTTCCTGGCCAAACAACACATATAATGTATTCCTGGCCAAACAACACATCTAATGTCTTCCTGGCCAAACAACACATCTAGTGTCTTCCTGGCCATACAACACAACATCTAATGTCTTCTTGGCCATACAACACAACCTCTAAAGTCTAAAAGACAATCTAATCCATGCTAGAAATGTGTTTTCTCTAAGAAATGTCGACGGAAGATGGATGTTTCTGGATTAAGTCTGTAAAAACGTGTACATGGACAAGTTGATGGACGAGAGATGAATGACTTTTTAATGATAGACAATAAGAACACTGGAGGTACTTGTCCGTTTGGTTAAAAAAAAAACCTTATTGTTTATTATAACTCTGACGTTTAAAAAAAACATGAGCAAATATTGCTTTAAAAACAACAACAAACTAATGGCTCTTAATTCTCAGGAAATATTATGAATTAGATTTATAGGTAATAAGAAAATGTCCATAATACTGCATACATAATTTTAAAATTCCCACAAAGCTACATATAAAATACAATAAATGCCACAAAGCTACATACATAATTATATAATTCACATAAAGCTGCATAAATAACTTTATAAGCCCGTGTTGTGACCTAGTTTTTTTTTTTACCACACGCGTGGCATTCAACCCCCCACCCCAACACTTTTTTTCTGTTTTGATATTGACGTCATCGATTAAATATGTCATGGTCCACCATTACCCACCCCTCTCTTGACTGGGAAAACGTTGCGTACGTTCTAACTGATTCTAAAGAATGCTATCCGGCAATTTCTATTGTTAATATAACTTGCTTTTGTATCGTTTTTTTTGTTTGTATATTGGTTTTCGGGTGTTTTTTTAATGTTATTGTGCATCTAATGAGCCAAATCTTAACACAGATTGTTTGCAAAACCAAGTTACGTAACAATAATACAATAACTCCCATAAAGTTACATACATAATACGATGCTACGATTCTTCCCATAAAATGAAATATGGAGTACGATTATTCCCTAAAAACTAAACATGGAGCACTATAATTCCCATAAAACTAAATATGGAGTACTATGATGACCATAAAGCTGCTGCGTACAATTTCGTCCGCTGTAAATCTGGCGAAAAATGAACGAGACGCCGTGACGTAATGTTTTTGCTTTCTTAAATTTCATGGTGTTCCGTTTTAAGGAATCTGTATTGAGTGACAGAAACTGACTGAATGGAATGCATTCATGCACCGTATGAGTAGGACAGGATATAAAACTGTTTTTTCTTCTATTGTTTGAAATAATAAAACCTTTTCTGAAGTATTGTAAAAGTGTTTTATTGCTGAAGTTTTATTACTTCTTTATTGGCCAGGCTTTTAGCCGAATTTCAGCCGAATATTTCGTAATCAGCCGAAAATCAGCCGCAAAGGTCAATTTACGGAGAAATCCGGCTAATCCGGATATCAGCCAAAACATTATGTCAGCCAGCCGAAAATTAAAAAAAAAGTTGGCTGGCAGGTCTAGCTTAGACTAAAGACAATTTATAATTTGTCCTTAGAAGTTAACATATCGCACATACTCTTTGGAAATTTACCATTTTCCCGAAAATTTAGGCATGTTACTTATCAACCATCGTGCAGTACATTACCATTGTGCAGTACATTACCACGGCGTAGTACGTTTCCACGGTGCATTACGTAAACAGTTTGCCTCAATGTTTGAGGGAAATTTAAAATGATAAAAAATCATATAAGAACCATATAAAGACTTTTTTCTTTAAATAGATTTTAGGACACCAGAGCGTTGTAAGCATGCTATAATAGCATGGGGACTCGCGCTATAAAAGTACTCAATCATCACCACCATCTCCTCAGTGCAGAACACTTAGTCAATTCACATATTGTTCATATTCTTTGGCATTTTATTTACTGCCCTGGCATATTAATTAAAATGCCCCAACGTGTCCCCAGTGGAAATACAAGTATATGAACCACAATGTTCAAGAACCTTCAAATTGTAAGACTTTATCCCTTGAAACTGAGGCACAGTTCTACTACAAGAAGTGAAGGAGACCGTTTCTTTGTTCTGAAATATAGATAGCTGAACGACCCTGACACCGGGCTGGACTTTAAACAGATTACGCTAACGAAATAAAAAAAAAAAAAGGTCAAGCGATCACTTATAATTAATCGTAATGGACAGCTCGAATAAGTTACCACCTGGAGATTGGTCTGGCCAGGTCACCACCCTGGCACACACCCCTCCCCCACGAAGTGGAACGCAGTTCGATAACGAATTAGGTTACCAGCTCATCTGTTTTCGAATTAATTTGTATTTCCATGGAAAGTTAGTCCGCGAGTAATTTATACATGAAAAGCCACGAATCTAACACCTGATTAAGGGAAGTAACCAAAACAAGTACAATGAAGAGAAGGGAAAAAAATGAATTCCGTTCCTTGAGGGGCGAAATACAGGGGCGTTTCCCTTCATCCAATTTCCACAGATGTTGACCAAACACTCGGAGTTCTCCACAAGTCAATCGTCATAGTTGTGTTAACTAAATTCGTGTCGATCAAGTCATCCGAAAAGTTAATCTCCCCGACTTAAGTAAGCTGTTGATCCATTCACGTGACGTCAAGTGTTTAAGATTATCTTGATGAACATTCTACCTCCTCACTTACAACTACCCCTCCCCCCCCTATTTCCCTCGGGACACGCCGCTGTAAATTAGACGAAGCAGACAAAACTACGAGTGAAATTGGTAGAGGCGGTTACCGTGGCACGAGCCAGACAGGGAATGTAGATGAGTAGATGTTGAAATACGACAAGCAAATAATTACTTCTCTGGCTCTCTTCGTCCTTTTTATCATGGGGTGGGGCCTGGGTCTCTTTGTCCTCTTTATCGTGGGGGAAAGGGGTGGTGGTGGCTGACGCTCTTCGGCCCCCCCCACTTCTGCTGTGGGGCTGGCCCCCTTTGTGCCACTAATACTTCAGGTGATGACCCCCTCATCACTCTCATACTGATGGAGGTGGCTCTCCCTCTCTCTTATACTGACTGGGTGGGCTTGCTCTCTTCCCCCCTCTTTTACTGGGTGGGCTTGCTCTTCTTCTCTCTTATACTTCGTGTGCTGGCTCTCTTCCTTTCTCCTATACTTCGTGTACTGGCTCTCTTCTTCCCTCTTATACTAGCTGGCTCTCTTCTTCCCTCTTATACTGGCTGGCTCTCTTCTTCCCTCTTATACTGGCTGGCTCTCTTCTTCCCTCTTATACTGGCTGGCTCCCTTCTTCCCTCTTATACTGGCTGGCTCTCTTCTTCCCTCTTATACTGGCTGGCTCTCTTCTTCCCTCTTATACGTGCTGACTTTCTTCGTCCCATGCACTGAATGGCGCCGACTGCTCTTCTTCCCTACGATACCAAGGTGGAGGCTTGCTCACTCCGCCCCTGTTTCACTAAGTGAGGAACGTGATCTCATAAGCCCTCCTCTATCTTGAAGGCTGGCCCTCTACACGCCACTAACATACTGTTTGGCGTGTGCTTCATTTGTTCCTCTATTCGGATGTGTCCTTTAAAAGAACATATCTGATGTTTCACGTCTTACCAAGTAATGTAAGACTTCTAATTAAAAGTTTATTATATTAAGCTTTTTTGTGTTCTTAAAAAAATATTCCTATTTCTAGTTACTACACTCTGCTTGAGTCCATCCTTTAACTTCTAAAAATAGACACACAAATAAAAGATCACCAATGAACTTGTCTCTCTTTTCAGTTCCCTCCCAGATCGTCGACCACACCAAAAGCGACATCAGAGTTCGAGAAGGCGACACCGTGACCCTCGTCTGTAACGTGACCGGCACCCCCCAGCCGACGGTCACGTGGTACAGGCTGTCCACCGGCGGCAAGGGCAGTGAGAAACAGAGTGAGTTGTGCCCGGGCGCCGATAGTAAGAAAAGACCTCCTCATGTCTTGGCTGTCTGCTAGTCTCCCGTACATCTCTTGTACATCTTCCGTGCACACCGTTGTACCACTGCACGAGTTCTCCCACTATTGGAACGGTTCTGAAACATTTAAATTTCGTCCCTTTAGTTCAAGTAATATTTTACCAAATAATTTAAGCACGAAAACAGTAAATTCTTCGCAGTTAATTAAAATTCAATACCTGTTATACTGAGCTAATTTTATCGGGAATTAAAATTGAACTTTGTAGCTTGACAAAATGAAAAAAAAAAAAAATCAAATTTGAGATGTTGATTTATCAAGAAGCGGTGTTTAATAGTCTCCAGTACTTCAGAATCGCTGCATGACCCAATGTTGGAGGAGCATGAAAGACGTTCGAACCAATACAACAATGATAAAAATACAAGTGTACCTATGTAAGTGTACCTTGGTGCCTCTCATTACTACCTGACATCTTAGAAACAAGGGATACATGTATTAATAGAAAAGGGTATAAACTAACAAAGGAAAATGGAAATTATTAACGATAAAAACATTAATTAGTCGAAAACAGGTGTAGTCGTAGCATTCACATGAATGCGATCGTTTAAATCGATTATATTTAAAAGGAAATCACATGATCAGAAATACTTATATTTTTATGAAGAGTAAGTACAGAATGAGACACATTTTGCAGCTTAGGAACTCCGGCAGAGTCACACGTTGGGTTGCCTTTGTCTAAGGTGCATGGCTCCGGTGGTCACGTGACCATAGCAGTGAAAGGGATTATACGTTGGGCAATTGTTAATGGAAATGGATCTCTCCACGGAAAAAATGTGTTCATGTTCGAGCAATAGTTTCACATACACTTTAGTGAACGTAAAGGTAATTTATAAGGGTGACGTCAGGGGTGACATTGCTTGAAAACAGGTGGAAGAACAACCCACACACAGAGAGAGAGAGAGAGAGACAGAGAGAGAGAGAGAGAGAGAGAGAGAGAGAGAGATAGAGAGAGAGAGAAAGAGAGACAGAGAGAGAGAGAGAGATAAAAAGACGGCACCATGTAACATGTTTCTGGAAAGGTACTCGTCGACGGAAAGGAAAGGATCACAGAGCTGCAAGTAAAATTTACTTTCATCGGAGAATAACACATTCCAATGAAAATCTGGATGCTCGTAAACAATACCAGGAAATTCCACAATAGATCATCATGGTTGGCATAGCTTGCCATACAAAGGGTTTTCCAACCTATATCTGGTACGAAAATGCATCCATGTCCTTAAACCATCGGTGAACGGTCGTATTGCTGGTATTGAGTTACATCGATGTTCCTCGTAGACTTCATAAGGACGAACACAGAACCTTCTAGTGAACATGGGCGGGATTTCCATTATCGGAAAACTTACTGGTCGACCAGACTTCCTCATCCATTGACACAATACGCATTCATAACAGCAACATTTCGTAACAGTAGACAGCATACCTGTGTTACTTAGCACCGATTTCTTTTATCTATCTTGGATTTGTTCTTCCACCATTTTTTTCCCCAGCACAATCCCCTTCACAATCACGATTACTCTCTTACGAGCAAATATAAAGGTCAGATATGAAAAATTGTTCCTCCGCCGAGAGATCCATTTGCAACTACATCCGCCCAACATATCTTTCTACTCACAGACCGAAAACGTTTATCCATTTGAACTAAGCACCGTTGACCAACTCGCAACGCGTCCCAGATGCCGGAGGCTCAGTACCGTTACTTTGTCCGCAGACTGTATTCGAAAGAACTGAAAGTAGCCAAATGATTCCCCGCTGAATGAGTTATAAATTTTGTTTTTTTTTATTCACACATGTAGTTTTCTTAAGACATGCAGGTTCGATACATAGACGTACCGTGACATTGATCTGTATCTGATTCACGGGATATTGGTGACGTTCTCTTGTGCATGACTTTGTTTCTATCTTATGGCGTATCTGTGCTCTATCTTGATCTTTTCATTTTTTCAACTTGGTGAAGTCTGCACATCTGTTGGCGTTCGTGTGTCTGTTTTCTTTTGTAAAACATTTTGAATGTAATTAAGTAAAGCTGTTCACAATTTTTTAAATCGGGTCAAGGTCAATATTTTTAAAAACATTATGCGCACATATCCTTTTCAACTCTTTTTTTTTTTTACAGGAACAAGAAATCATTTCAGTGGTTTAACCAAAGCATAATATTACACATTGATTAGTTAATAATTTAATGCAAAGAAGAAATCCATTTTTTTATTTTAAAAAATAATCCACGAGCGTTTTTTTTTCTTCCGGCTGGACTGTTCAAACCTTTGTGCCTTAACAGTCGGCCAAACCATTCCTTTTGAGAACCTCTGATGCAGAAATATCCTTTTTTTTTTTTTTGCACAAGATTATTTGTTGTTTCGTCCAGTAAACATGTTTTTTTTAACATTTATTCGTGCCCTATTTGACCGTTATGTGACACGTTTCTTCGCATTTTTAAAAAAAACATTACAGCACTCTACTTTGATCGCTTTCACACCTTTTTTCAACATATGTTTTGTTTGTTTAAATATTTTAAAAAAATTAAAAAAAACCGTTTATTATTATCGACTAATCTGTTCACCAAAATAATTTCTATTTGTGCCATTTGAATGCCAATTTATTTCAGAAGCAAATTATCATCTAATATAAAATATATATATTTGTGTATGTACATTAATCATAATGACTGAATTAGTTGAACTTTTAAATATTTGTGTACCTAATGGAAAAAACAAAACACAACGAACATAATGATAATAATTCAAGACAATAAAACTAAGCTCAGCTGCGTGGTATAATTACGAATTTATATAGAGAAAAATCTGTTTCCAAAAGCTCAAGGGCTCTTATAAAAATAAAAAGTGTTTTAATAGTTCTTGTTTTTTTTTTTTTAATTACATTCAGAAAAGGCTTCAGAAAATTTTGGCACTAACAATAAAAAAAAGAAAAAAAAAAAAAAAAAAAAAAAAAAAAAATAAAAAAAAAAAAAAAAAAAAAAAAAAAAAAAAAAAAAAAAAAATTATGTTAAAATTATTGCATGAAAAATAAACTCTATTCCAAGTTCAATCTACGGGTTAATGATCTAGGTCAGAGTTACAAGAAAAATGACCTCAGACATCGAATACATCACAGTTAATCTAAAATGAAATGACTAAATCTAATACATTAAAAAAAAAAACTATTAAAAATACAAATAGATGTCTTCACAATTTATAAATGTATGTCAGTATAGTAAATCATGAAGACAAAAAACAACATGACGTTATTTTGAAGGCGACAGACCTGGGTCTATCTCAAACATTGAACTTTTTCTTATTATGAACCAAGACCATCCATTGCACTTGATACTGTCTTTTCTTTTCTCCATGTAAGAGGTAGGAATTAATGGGGAGGTTCTCATAATACACAATGTGACCCGCTACTGTGGGGACAGCTACGAGTGTGTGGCATTCAACAACGTGCCGCCCATGGCAACGAAGCTGATCAAGGTTTCAGTGGAATGTAAGTCTGTCTGTTTATGGTGCAGTGGTCGACAAGTCACGGTTCACGAGCCGCATGCGGCTCTTTAACGAACTGAGTGCGGCTCGGTCAGTCGGCCACAAATCGGTTTATGACCCCAAAAAACAATGGTTCTTGACAAGAAATTTCGCTCTAAAATGTTTTAAATCGTCCTGGTCTTGATTTTTGGCTCTTTTGACTAATGAGTTTGTCGACCACTGTATATTACTGAGATATGCTTTTTATATGGTCAATGTTGTATCAGTTTTCCGTCTGTCGTGCCACTGTCTAAGCACCCGTGTCTAGTTGTCTGATACATTCTTTCCGTGTCTGACCGCCTAGTTGCTCCTGAGATATACCTCCCCAATAAGAGGATCGGCCAAGAGAAGGGCAAAGAGACCATTCTCGAATGTTCAGTAACAGCTTTCCCCCACGCCGTTACCATGTGGATGAAGGACGGCGTCAAGCTGACCACATCTCCAAAATACAGGTAAAACGACCCCGTCATTGAACAATGACCACATAAGGTTCAATCAAACAACAAAGGGCACAGTTCTATTAACAAATAACTAAAGATAAATAAACCACAAAACCAATTATCACCAGCAGATACAAACTGGTGCACCAATATCATGTTGCCAGATGATAAAATATTTAAAAAAAAAAAGATTTATAAGTTAAATTAATTGTTATATTTGAGACCCTCTGAAGAAGCAAGACTTCCTTCAAAAAGTCTGAATTGACTACGATTTTATTTTGATTGTTTGTATTACAATTAACATGTGCCGATTTTTTAAAGGGAAACGTTTCAGCTGTTCATTTTTTTAAAAACTCAACCTTTGAACTCAAGGGTTGAACTCTATGATGATGAGAGGAACAAACTGACTTTGAGTCTGAGAGTATTCAACATCAATGAGACTGACTTCGGAGCCTACACTTGTATAGCCGAGAACGAACTGGGGAACGATGAGGAAACCATGTACCTTTATGGTAGGCTGACAAGTGTGTGTGTGTCTGTGTGTGTGTGTCTGTGTATGTGTGTGAGTGTATATGTTGAGAGGATGTGTCCAATTAGTGTGTGTGTCGAGTGTGTGCGTGTGGGGGTATGTAAGGAGTGTTTGTGATAAGTGTGTTTTTGTATTATTTACTTTTTTCGGAAGTGGGCAAATCTAATCTACCTTTAAGTTTTTAAGTTGCATAATTGTTAGTCCATTGTTTGAATCAATTGCATTTTAATGGGAATACACCAGAAAACCATCTGCCTACTGTTAGGTCACGATAATTTGATTCATATATTGAATTACGTCAGTAAATTTCAGGACTCGTATGTCTTATATGGACATAGAAAAGATCTGAATTATATTATCCTTAGCAACATTTTTATTTTGGTATTCAATATACAACATATGTATACGTCTTAAAGGACTTATGTTTACAAAATATAATACATCTGGATATCGTAGACTATATATTTAAATATATGTCTTGTGTATCGTAAACTATATTACTTATATTGAATATACAGGATCTTTATTTAGAAAATACAGATTTATGTTTACAACATACATGATTTATACGTAAAACATACGAGAATTATGTTTACAACATACCCCCGTATATTCACAACACACTGGACTTATATTTACAACATAAGCACTTATAATAAAAAAAATAGGTGACTTATATATACAACATACAGGACTTATATTCACTATATAGATTACTTCTATTTAAAACGTCGAGGTCATGTGTTTTGTATTAAATGCTCTTCACTTCTGGTGATTGCCAGACTACGCCGAGAACTCTAGAACCACTTCTACCACACCTCTGACAACCAGCACAACCCTGAGCTTCTACATCCCTCATGTCAACGGACGGGAGGAGTCCAAGCATGTCTACATCAAGACAACAGACTTCACCGGCCACGATAATCAACATTTCAAACCAGGGGCGTGGCGAGGGGAGGGGGGCCATGACAGCCTACACCCTGACTACACCCCAACGAGCAGGCCGGATTACAGAGGTAAGCTAATCTCGGGGTTAAGTTACCATGACTACGTTTGTTTTTACCTGCATATGACGATGCTTCATCATTGTGAATGTGCATCAAGTTGTTCCTACATCGATACTTCCTGAATACTATACATTCTTTGCATAATTTAACCAGGAAATTCTCACTTTGTACATCCATTACGTACCTGAATGATATTCACTCTTCAATAAAATTTAAAAAAAAAATGTTTATATGTTATTATATGTATGTTCATTTATAATATTCCATAACTTGATTATTGCTCTGATTTCAAATAAATTTGAATAAGCAAAAAAAAAAAAAAAAAAAAAAAAATTTAAAAAAAAAAAAAAAAAAAAAAAAAAAAAAAAAATCCAGTGCATTTTAAAAATGATATTTTTGTTATTGGATGCGATCTTACTGTTATTCCATGAGTTTGTTGTCATCAATAAAAATGTTGTTCTACTTATTTTTTATTCTACTTTCAGATAAAGGAATAGTAGCCGGCAAGAGTACAAAAAATCTGGCATTTTCACCTGTGGCATCTTGGCCCACGTTAATCGGACTGCTTTCCGTTTTAAGTCTCGGCAACATCCTTGTGTTGTGACCAGCCCCATTGTGTTATCTCTTCTAGACCTCCGTCTTGTACAACAGAATTTATATATGTGTTTGAGTGATGACGTCATCAACCTCCCTTCATCTATTTATAAAAAGGTTTCTCTCAAGGGATCCCGAACGATTTTTAGTAAATAATTATCTTGTTTTTTCAATTTTTGTTTTATTTTGTTTTTAAATTTCAACAAGGCTCAGATTTTCAAAAATTGTCGCCATGAGCCAGCCAGAACCTGTATTAAGCACCTGGTTAACTGCGCTGAATTATTAAGCTCGGCAGGCTCTTAAGCGTTTTATTGTCACGGCCATATTTATTTAGAAGCAAAGTGAGATTCACCACGATAAAGAATGCTTTTAAATTTGTTTGGAAATGAGCACACATTAAAGCTAGATTTTTTTAGTACGTCATAAAATGACGTCATGATTGACATTGTTACTCAAACTGTCGGACAAAAGAAAAATTTAAAAAATCCCTCTTTCTCTCAGTAAATTGTTTCAGACTGCGACCACACAGAAATCCCTTGGCAATCCCATTGGACGTCACGTCCCACTTGCTGGGAACCTGCGCTCTAGTAACTAATTATACCAGGCTGTGTGTGTTTCAAACTAATTTTATACTATGTAGTGTAATTTTTTAATTTCAAGACATATAGTCTACATAAATGGATTGATACATTAATTTAATATTTCTTCTAAAAAAATTTTTTTTTTCGAAACAAACCTTTGTTACATGTTGCTAGAAAAATTGGCTTGCAACATCTCGTGACTGATTTTAAACTAGCATTTGCGACCTATTCTGTAAAGTATGCCAAACTCATATCAAGTGTAAAGGTTTTTCCTAAATGCGATCATATACGATTGTTGCGTAACTAGCCTATTATTTGCTATGTCATCTATTGCAAGGGCAAAAATGAGTCAACTACTAACAAATGACCATCCTCTTAAGTAACCTTAATATCTTTTTTTTTCCATTCAATAATAGTCAATATCAACTGAGCAATTGTATGCAAAACCAACGCTCGTACAGTCTAGTTCAGTTCATAATCTATTTTTAATTGAATAAATTTAATCTTGGGATTTCTTGGGATCCCGGGAAGAGAGTTTCTTTCATCCCGTTTTCATGTAATTAAAGAAAACCCGGGAAATGAAAAAAAACAAAAAAACATCACAAACATCAAGTCCATTGAAGAAATTTTGATCTTTTGGAAAACGTGCAGTTTTTTTTTTATGTTCTAATGAATCCCATATTTAAATAATTGTCACTGTACAGTCACACTGCTGTACCAGCTAAAGCTTCAGTCGACTGCTCACGAGTTTTAGTTTGATCGTCTAACTCTCTATTGTTAATAAATCGATCAATAGTCTTACAAAAAACATCAGTGTTATGACAACGTTAAAGGCTCATTAGAACAACAACGAACGAAAATCTAATGAAGTGGATGAACAAACGTGTAGTTACTGCACAGTGCCGGTACTTCTAGACTTAGTCCTTGGCAATCTCAGCCGTTATTTTTATATTTGTTACTGGGCGCCGGCGGAACCCCTGGCTGGTGCTCACGGAAACCCTAGGTCCACAGAACCCCTAGGTCCACGGAACCCCTAGGTTCACAGAACTCCTAGTTCCACAGAACCCCTAGGTCCTACGAAACCCCTAGGTCCCCAGAACCCCTAGGTCCCCAGAACCCCTAGGTCCCCAGAACCCCTAGGTCCCCAGAACCCCTAGGTCCCCAGAACCCCTAGGTCCCCAGAACCCCTAGGTCCCCAGAACCCCTAGGTCCACAGAACCCCTAGGTCCCAAGAACCCCTAGGTCCCCAGAACCCCTAGGTCCCCAGAACCCCTAGTTCCCCAGAACCCCTAGGTCCCCAGAACCCCTAGGTCCACAGAACCCCTAGGACCACAGAACCCCTAGGTCCCCAGAACCCCTAGGTCCCCAGAACCCATAGGTCCACAGAACCCCTAGGTCCCTAGAACCCCTAGGTCCCCAGAATCTCTAGGTCCAAAGAACCCCTAGGACCACAGAACCCCTAGGTCCCCAGAACCCCTAGGTCCACAGAAACCCTATGACCACAGAACCCCTAGGTCCCCAGAACCCCTAGGTCCACAGAAACCCTATGACCACAGAACCCCTAGGTCCTCAGAACCCTTAGGTCCCCAGAACCCGCGTTTTAAGAAAATTCTGTCGTAGAGTAATAAGTCTTTATATTCATTCCAACTCATTGTCAGCAAAGTCCTGATCTTGAAATCACAACTCACAAATATTTTCTCAGCATTACTTGTATGCCACCTGTTTTAATGTCCATCATTATCGGCTCTCCCAGGGAATTTATGTCTAATTTCATCGACTCTCTCATCTAGTAGGTTTGTGTCCAGGTTCTCTTTCTCATCTAGTTGGTTTGTGTCCAAGGTCTCTTTCTCATCTAGTTGGTTTGTGTCCAAGGTCTCTTTCTCATCTAGTTGGTTTGTGTCCAAGGTCTCTTTCTCATCTAGTTGGTTTGTGTCCAGGTTCTCTTTCTCATCTAGTTGGTTTGTGTCCAAGGTCTCTTTCTCATCTAGTTGGTTTGTGTCCAGGTTCTCTCTCTCATCTAGTTGGTTTGTGTTCAGGTTCTCTCTCTGATCTAGTTGGTTTGTGTCCAGGTTCCTTTTCTCATCTAGTTGGTTTTTATCTAGGTTCTCTCTCTCATCTAGTTGGTTTGTGTCTAGGTTCTCTCTCTCTCATCTAGTGGGTTTGTGTCTAGGTTCTCTCTATCATCTAGTTGGTTTGTGTCCAGGTTCTCTCTCTCATCTAGTGGGTTTGTGTCTTGGTTCTCTCTCTCATCTAGTTGGTTTGTGTCTAGGTTCTCTTTCTCATTTAGTTGGTTTGTGTCTAGGTTCTCTTTCTCATCTAGTTGGTTTGTGTCCAAGGTCTCTTTCTCATCTAGTTGGTTTGTGTCTAGGTTCTCTTTCTCATCTAGTTGGTTTGTGTCTAGGTTCTCTTTCTCATCTAGTTGGTTTGTGTCTAGGTTCTCTTTCTCATCTAGTTGGTTTGTGTCTAGGTTCTCTTTCTCATTTAGTGGGTTTGTGTCTAGGTTCTCTTTCTCATCTAGTTGGTTTGTGTCTAGGTTCTCTTTGTCATCTAGTTGGTTTGTGTCCAGGTTCTCTTTCTCATCTAGTTGGTTTGTGTCCAGGTTCTCTTTCTCATCTAGTGGGTTTGTGTCCAGGTTCTCTTTCTCATCTAGTGGGTTTGTGTCCAGGTTCTCTTTCTCATCTAGTGGGTTTGAGTCCAGGTTGTCTTTCTCATCTAGTGGGTTTGAGTCCAGGTTGTCTTTCTCATCTAGTGGGTTTGAGTCCAGGTTGTCTTTCTCATCTAGTGGGTTTGAGTCCAGGTTGTCTTTCTGATCTAGTGGGTTTGAGTCCAGGTTGTCTTTCTCATCTAGTGGGTTTGAGTCCAGGTTGTCTTTCTCATCTAGTGGGTTTGAGTCCAGGTTGTCTTTCTCATCTAGTGGGTTTGAGTCCAGGCTCTTTCATGCAGTGGATTTTGTCTATTATCATCATCGACTCTATCATCCAGAGGGTTTGTTCATTGGCGAAGTTGAAGCTGTTGTCAATGATATTTTGTTGCACACTATGTTATAAAAATGAAATCAAATTCTTAGCCACATTGCCATACTTTATGTAATCATAAGTTGTTGTTGTAGGGGCATAATTTGTGAATTTTCCCCCTGGTGTTATTTCTTCAACGTACACCACGGACTGTCATGTTTTGGACCATGTGATGTCAACCACCAGACTGCGATCAAAGATGAACTCCTCATTCCTTGCGATATCGCATGTATGCTGCACTATCAGGGCGGAGAGAAATAGCTTAGAAATGGAGAAATTAATTGATGAAGATAAAGAATTTTTTAAATAAAATAATTTTTTAGACTGACTCATAACTTGAAGCGTTTAAAAGACGCTGTGACGGCCATCATTGTATTATTATCCAATGGACTTGATCCTAATATATGGACATAATTTTATCGTGTTAATGTATTATTAAATTTCTTTTTCATTGTAACAACCATCTCTTGTCCTTTTATCAAGAGAAATACAGGTCTTGTAGTTTATGTGTATGATGTCGTATTTTGAGTCGTAAATATGTCGATGTTACACAGCTTTGATCTTAATCCAATAAGTATATGATCTTCATCCAACAGTTCTGTAGTCTTAATCCAACACATATATGATCTTAATCCAAGATATATATGTCTTAATCCAAGACATCTTTGGTCTTAATCCAAGACATCTATGGTCTTTTTACTCTATACATTAAGAGTCCACGACCAATGTATTGATCATTCTGGCTCCTATGCATGTAGAGGGGATTTGCAATGTTTCTGTTCCTGGTATTGAAGAGGATATTTCACTGGCTGCAAGGGCTACTCAGCTAAGGTATCAGGAACTGGGGTGTGGAAAGCCCGAGGCAATAGACGCAAAAGTGTCAATTGTTGTTACCTCAGCTGTTCCCTTTGGAAGCTTGTTCCAGTCCCTGATTGTCTTTGGCTAGAATGAGCAGCTCCTGTACTGTCTTCTTTCTGTTATGAGTCGGAACTACCTGTCATGGCTTCGTCGCTGTCTAGGGGCGAGAGGGACGAGTTTCTGTTGAATGCTAGAGCAGTGGACCAGCCCATTATTTATCTTGTACATCTATCGTCTTAATCCAAGACTTTTCTTTAAAAAAAATACGATGGTCACTGTTATGTATATAATTCTTTTTCGTATATCCTTGCTCATTTCCCGGCCAGACATAAAGATCAATACATCTCACCTGTGTTGTCTTCCAATGTTTAATAAATATGACATAATAAATCAGCACCTGCATTCCAAAGAGTTCAAAGGTCACCGTCACTGTAATGGTGAATAACGGATCACTTCATATTTAATAACACGTTGTCAGAAGCTGAAGCTGTACGCAACACAAATGCTTAGTTATGCAGACTTTGTAGTCTAGTTGTAACTATTGACAGACTTGGTATTCTAGTTGTAACTATTGACAGACTTGGTATTCTAGTTGTAACTATTGACATACTTGGTATTCTATTGTAACTATTGACAGACTTGATATTCTAGTTGTAACTATTGACATACTTTGTATTTTAGTTGTAACTATTGACAGACTTGGTATTCTAGTTGTAACTATTGACAGGCTTGGTATTCTAGTTGTAACTATTGACAGACTTTGTATTTTAGTTGTAACTATTGACAGACTTGGTATTCTAGTTGTAACTATTGACATACTTGGTATTTTAGTTGTAACTATTGGCATACGTTGTATTTAAGTTGTAACTATTGACAGACTTGGTATTCTAGATATAACTATTGAAAGACTTTGTATTTTAGTTGTAACTATTGACAGACTTTGTATTTTAGTTGTAACTATTGACAGACTTTGTATTCTAGATATAACTATTGAAGCAAATGTGTCTGTTTCATTTTATGAAATGTAAGTTGCTCTAAACCTTCTCCAATGATTAGCGGACACTCCCTTTCAAACAAAACATTCCCATATCCTAGAAGAATCAATCCTTTGTCTGAAGTCCTCTATAGAATTGACTGGAACGACAGATTTACATTTATTTCTTAAGTTTTAGATTTTCATTTTCCCTGAAATAATTTTTATTGATGTTAATTTCTGATAAGTCTAAAATCAAATATTCCCCATTAAAGAATCGGAGCTTATCATTATCCAGCTTCTATATGAGGCTATAAATACATTTTATAACAAGGGTGGACAATCCAAAAGGCTTCTCGGGCCACTTTGGTAGCGTGTGAAACCATTTGTGGGCCACTTCGATAAGTAAGTAAACAATTTGGGGGACACTTTGATAAGTGAGTAAACCATTTGGGGGCCACTTTGATAAGCGAGTAAACAAATTGTGGGCCATTTTTATAAGTGAGTAAACCATTTGGGGGCCACTT